AGAAGCCACCCCTGTAGCCCCCCCTGCTCCCAAAACCTTGCTGTGCAAACCCAATACAGATTGGATTAATTGCTCATTTAGAACAGACGTGGCTGACCCAGTCCGCCCTGATCTGTGAAACTGGAAAGATAGGAAATTGTTAAAAACACTTCATTGTGACCTAATGCACCTGACACATGATGTTCTACCCATCAGATGACTAATCTGTTTTAAAAAGGAATGCTCCTGGAAAATGTGTGTCCCCTTCAGCAGTGAGAGAGTTAACTCTTTAGGCATTGTGAATTGTCAAACACATGTAGCTTTTCTTCTAATTATCCCCAAATGTTGATTCTCAGCTGTAAAACATGAAAGAAATTCTGTGACTCCTTCATGGGCAAGGATTTAAGTGCTTCCTTCTTCAGGCCCACTTCCCATCAAAGATAGCCCTTCAGCTGGTGCTGGTCTGGAGATGTGGTTGCTCATTAGGTGTACAACGGGGAACGTGGACAAGTACCCGTGGCTTGTGATCGTACAGTGCCTGCTGCTGCGCGGGCCTTGTTTTCAGCGTGCAGAACTCAGATTGCAGCAGGGAGGCTTGCCTCCTGCCTGGCTTGGCTCTCTTCTCCCCCACTGGCTGTCTCATACCCAACCTTCTGGTCAAGGGGGAGCTTGCATGGAATTTCAGGGGATTGTGGCCACTCATTTACTGCTTTGAAGCAAGATGCTAGGTAGGGTCAAAATCTTACCACTGTTACTGATTTATCAAGAGAAGACCACTGACACAGGATTGCTGAAATCAGGACAAACGCTAACAAACTGCTTTATGCAGGTCACACCTACCCTTGTTTATCAGCTTTCAGAGGCTCTTGAGAGTCTTATCTTTACCATTAGCCCAAAAAATACTTGTTGGGTTTTTTAAATCATGTAGCCAGTGTTGCACATGAACTGCTCTGAGGTAAAAACATAGTTATGACAAAGGATGTACTATGACAAGGTTATCTATCAGTAGCGTGGCTTATACGCTGATTTGGCTTAGTTTTGCCTTGCGGTAAGTTTCCACAGTGCTTTTTCCCTCTGGGTTCCTTGCACGTGCTGGTTATCTATTAGTAAAAATAGAAGACAAGGCCTAGGTGGTGATGCTGAGCAGTTTTACATTGGCTTCTCTGATTCAAACATGACAACCTGCTGTTTAACCTAAGTGCTGAATACTGGTAGCTTCTGCTAGTGTCGGTGCAGGAGTTGGCCTGCAGAGATGTTTTTCCTCCAGTGCAAATTAATATACACAAATAAGATAATCTATGTATATTTGTTTTGTTACTTGTTTTCTTTTTTAATTCAGACTTAAGTTTTGGGTTTAAGATGTGAACCTCAAAAAAGTAAGTGACCCAGAGCAGTCTCCAATGAAACTTTAAGAAATACAGAGAATATTCCCACAGCAAATAATTCTTTAAATCAATGTGTCCTTTTGCAGATGCAAGAAAAAGCTAAAGAAATTTACATGACTTTCCTGTCCAGTAAAGCTTCCTCCCAAGTCAACGTTGAAGGGCAGTCCCGTTTGAATGAGACCATTTTGGAGACACCTCACCCTCTCATGTTTCAGAAGCTCCAGGACCAGGTAAAGTTATTTCCTTCAAGAACACAGTTTCTTTAGTTTTTGTCTGCTTTTAATGGACTCTGCTTTCTAAGCGCAAACTAGCGGAGGAAAGTTGGGAATCTGCCTACTGCTACCTGTGTCATGGATTGAACAGGTAGGCACAGAGCTGGGTTGCTGCCGTACTGGGGATGTTAATGCAGCCGCTCTGGGGATGGATGCACCGTACCTCAGGTTCTCAGCCCCGTCTAACTAGGGCCAATTAGTTAAGAGATTCAGCGCCACTATGCTACTTCCAGTTCAGGACTTGCCTGGAGAATTGGATGAAGTTTTCTCCTGGGTTCTTCTGCGGGTAGCTTGAGAATCACCCAGCTGACTAACTTTGTGCCTACGTTTTCCTGTGTATTCGCTTGCGCTGAGTCATTGCTGGTGTTTGTTTCTGTAGTTGCCACTGGTTTCCTTGAGAGCTCAAGATTCTTCACTTTGCTTTTGTTTTGGTATTTATATTGATATGAATATAATGTGATTTCCTGAAAATCCTCCTGTTCTGTAACACACAAAAGAGGAGCTGGTATCTGCTTTGCCTTTTCCCATAGATCTTGGGAGGTCTGGTAGAAATTAGGTGACATTTTGCAGGCATGTCTTCTGGTGGTAAATTTTCTTGATATTTTGCTTATTTTAAAGCATAAATTATGAAGTGAGTCATTCTTATCTGCGGCTTTCCAGCACTTGCAGTCTGTACTATTTTTAATTTCTGTACCATCCTCAGAACTACCTGTATTTTCCATTTGGCTTTTTTTCTTTTGTGGGGAAACAGCACACTGATTTAAATAGTATTTTCAACCCATATCACATCAGGTACTGAATACGTTAGTTGGGCACTGGCAGGGTCAGCTAAAGTGGTCTGAGGAGCAAAGGCTCTGCTGTCTTTCAAGCAGGTTCCAAGTCATTAGCAGTGGAAATGTCTGAAACTCATTTTCCATGTGAAGAAGCAAAGTTTTTCATGGAAGAACTTCTGACTTGGGGGAAGGGAAAGAAAATATTCTGGTAAATCTAAGCACTGCAGTTCAGGGTGGGTGATTGTGAGAGTGAAGCTGGAGAGACTACTGGAGTTAAAATGTTTTGCCATTTTACGAATGAGCATGCACAGTAACAGCCAGGGATTAGTAATACTTGAACTGGAAACGTGCTAGACCAGTGGTAGAGGAGTCCCACGAGTGTGGGAAGAAAGTCTGTGAACTTTTAAAACCAAATGCAGAGCATTTATGGGTTGTCGCAGGTTTCCACTGCTTGAAGCTTCTATTTATTGCTGTTAGATAATAGTTCAGGAAGAGTTATCATCTCCTCTAGTTTTCTATCCTTATAAAGTTGTGAAGAGTGGTATCATTTGTTCTCTAAAGAATAGCGTTAACTACTGCTGGCACTGTGTGTCTGAAGTATAAAAAGGCAGAGCTTGAAAGCCACAGTCTGGTCTACACCATTACTGGTTGTAATGCACTTCAGTTCTCCAGAGACCTGCTGATTTAAATGGGGCTAGCTGGGGGGTGTGGTTCTGTGCTCAGGGGTGGCCTTCAACAAATCGCTTGGAGGCAGTTGTTCATGCTGAAGGAAGTGGTGGTGGAGTGGTTCATAAAAATCCATAGATTTCAAAATACTACGGGGTAAATATTCCTGCTCTGCGGAGGCGATGAGAGGAGGGGAGGGATTTTTCTTTTGCATGTGATTATAAAATCTGTTCTGTGCGTTTGGCTAACCAGACACCAGGAGCTTTTGATCTTACAGTGCTCTTTCTCTCTGGGAGATGCTTTAAATGATACCAGGAACAAGAGGGGTCTAAGTTCTTGACACTGACTTAACAACATTTTAACAGGCAATGTCTTCCTTACTTTCCGCCCCCCCCCCTCAAGCTGGTTGGATATATTGAATTATATTGTAGTTAGCCAACACCAGGAAGTGTAATTTGGCTTTGCTTAACTGCATTGATTTGGTTCTACATCAAGAGGATGTTTTGGGATTTTTGGTCTTCCAATATGTAGCTTATAAAGCAAGATTTCCACTGTTTTAAACATGAACTTAAATGTTTAAATATGTAAACAGACAGTGGTTAGTAAAATGCTTCATGTAATTTATTTGCAAGGGGGGTATTTCAGCAAACACACAGACAAGAACAGTCAAGTTTTGTGTGTTTGCCTTTTCTGTCCAGGTTCCTTGAGGATGTGAAATGAAAAAGCAGTTTGAGATTTTTTTTTTTTTTTCCCCCTCCTAACAAACAGTTGTATTACCCAGTTGCTCTATCAGTTAGAAATGAGGCCGTAAAGGTAAAGCTCTAGTTATCCACGCATGCAGGTCAGAATCCAGAAACTCCTCTTGGAAATTTAGTTCCTGTGAGTACCATAAAATGTACTCGGTCATGAAGCATGACTCAGAGAGGCTCCGCCAGTGAAATAATAGGCAGAGGGTGATGTAGGCTTTGGTTTTGCCTCAATTACAGTTTTGAGGTTTACATTTTCCTTCCTCTCTGTTTTAAGACCAAGGAAAATATAGTCCTGACCTTGACACCTGAACAGATTCCAGGCTCTTCTCCTCGCCCTTTTGTTTTCAGAAAATGCCAAATGAGTTCTAGCTTTTTTGTCCGAAAAGGGGATAAATAAAAGAGAAAGCAATTGTGTTGAGGGACGAGCCTGAACTCCAGCCCTGGGAGAGAAAAGCTGTACTCAGTGCTGACTTCATGCTTCCATGCTGGCTGTATATTGGCTGTGGGAATAAGGGCGAGTCTTGGGCTAGTGAAAAGCCTGGTGACGCAAGTTCAACCCATCTGTACAAGATCAGCTTTTTGTGGCAGGTACCTGCAACATTTCTGATCTGGCCTGAGACCCATCTTGGCCTTTGGTTGTGTAGTAATCTAAAAAGGATAGGAGGATTGGTGTGAGTTTAAGAAACATTGGTTAAATCAGTTGTTTCAGTCTAGATTCAGTTTGGAGTTTCAGTATTTGTGTAAGTTATTGAGAGGCTTTTCTTAATGATCCAGTGCTCTGCATGTATAATGAGCTATTCTGTAACGTTCAAGAGTAACTGCGGCCAGAAAGGTGCCTAAAAGGTACCTCTTTTTCTTCAGCTCTGCTTCATCCCTCTGGGTATCTTCCTACCACCCTACAGAAGGAGGCCCTCGCTAGGTTTGGCTCCTGGTGGCTCTGCAGAGCTGAGGCTGCTGTGGGAGGGGACCAGGTAATGTCCTGGCTTGTCCACACCTGCGGTTATCTGATCATCAGCTGTAAAATCCTACCTAGTGACCATGGCATGGGACCTCCCACTCTTCAGTATTAGGTTTTTGAAGTTGGCTATTGTGAAAACGATGATCTGATTCTTAAACTGATACGGAAATACGGACATTGTTACAAAACAGTGACCGTGGAACCTACAATATTGTTTGCTACGTGCAGCCCCTTTTGAGCGTTTGAAGTGTGTTTTAATGTCATGCTTTTTAGTATTGCTTTAGTACTAACAGAGCAAAAATACATTAGAATTCATATACCGTCCTTCTCATTTAAAATTTAGTTTTACTTAGGTCATTGTTTTTGTGTTTTTTTCCCTCCTACCAGATATTCAATCTCATGAAATACGACAGCTACAGCCGCTTCTTAAAGTCAGACATATTCCTAAATCATAAGAAGTCTGAGGAGCAGGAGGAGAATTCACCAGAGGCTCAGACTGCAGCTAAAAGAGCATCGAGAATTTACAACACATGATACAATGAATCTCTTCAGGAGAGGCAATACAATAACTAAATTACACTCAGGAACAGTCTAGGTTTATAGCAGTTGGCATTTAGGGCTTGAAAAGCTCAAAACTTTTTTAGGAGATACTTACCTTCTTAATTGCTTGAACGACTAATTGTTTTTGCATGATAGCTAATAACCAAGCACCCATGGAAAGACTGTTTCCTAGTTAAAAGGCTGAGGTATTCCTCCATAGCATGAATTGCATTTCATATTTCACGAATTAAAATGCTTTTGATTTTTGTATTTTCTTTTGTGAGGCATCATGATGATGAGAAATGGGAGAGAGGGTGGTTGGATTTTTTTTTATTATTGCCTTGTAATTTTTATTTGTGACTGGCTTTTACATCCTGAATTGCTGGGAGAAGCTACTGAGGAGTACATTTCACGTTACTTTGTGGATGAGTCATTCGTAGCAAACTTAATCATGAAGGGACAGCATCTTTCAGGGTTAAGCTCAACAGAATCCAGTCCCTTCCTGTGTAACTTTGTTCTTTCAAGGTGATATCTGTTTTGCTTTGCCTTTATTGTTGAATCATAACACTTCTCTATTCACGATTTTCATTTCTGTATTTCTTAAATTTCCCCCATTTTTTTGCAGTAGACAATCACCTTCTTCAGAGGCTGGAATAACCTCTATTCCCTTTGGGAACAAAAGCTCTAAGATAGAGAGAATCTCTGAAGAACTTCTAACAGCCATTAGGAAACCTGACAGTTAATATCCCACTCTGGGCGCACTGATTTCAGCAAAGTTTGACAGGGGTATGTCCTGCGTGTCAGCGTAACATCAGCGTCAGATGCCGGTATTGGGAAGCATCTGGTCTCTCCTGGGTCTCCTGAGCAATCCTGCTCTGTGTGGCAAGAATACTTTGGCAAAGGACCAACCAACGAAGTCTGTCTTTGTTTTACTAAAATCTTTCTACTAAAATCACCCTGCCTGATTTTGTTTGCCCCAGAGAAGTGTTTCAGGATTTCCTAATCATAACTTTGGATAGCTGCAATGCAACAGGGGGTTGACATTGTGGTTTAGCCAGTCTCACATCAAGCTTGAGAGGAAGGGGAATTTATTTCTGCCCAGAGCAATCAAAGATGAAATGTAAGGGTGGTAAGGGTAAGACACTCCCAATGAGCCTTCTGTATCATCCTGGGACTGTGTCAGAGCTGAAAAGCACGTTTTGGCATACAGTTTTTCATGTGTTCGTACATTTTTTAATTAATTCACTGCAGTGTTACTAAATTGCAGCTTTAAGTTGGGAAAGCGTATTAGCTACATGCTCTATTTACAAGCTTCGCAGTGTGTAGTCTAGCTGTTTCACATTTTCTCATTATTTACTCTTTCATTTTTTGCACTGCTTTTCTTGAACTTCTGTTTATGTGCTGGCTAGTCTAAATGCACAGTTAGCTTTTGATCGTTTTGTAGTTCTTTTTTGTCGGAAAGGCCAGATAACGTTTTCTACATTACTGTCGCTATCGACGTTTTAAAACTAAGTCTAGATTGTAATTTTTGAGGATGCAAACTCACTTGGTAGACTTGATTATTTCTTTTAACTCTGAGCCACTCTTGCAGGTAATGTGTGAAGAAAATTGTTTCCATGGGCTCTTCTCTAGTTAGATGTAAGAGCGGGAGTGGGAGTTCTGATTCTTCCCCCAGAGCTAAATGGCCTGTTCATTTTTAGGAAATCAAAGAAGAGGTCAGTGCCTCTGTATGCATGTTCTAAGATGTAATTCTTATGCACTGAGTTCATTGTCCTTTTATACTCTCAAAAGATTTAATGGTGAAGTCACAGTCTTGCTTCAGGCACTTTCAGTGGTGTTTGACCTCACGCTTAAGTTGTATTTCAGTGTTTCGCTGAATAGGAACGAAGTAAGCACGTGCATGAATCCTTTTGCTGTGATGGGGCCTAGGAAATGGGACCATCCAGTTCTGGACTTGCCAACTATTTGTAATCTCAGGATTACCTCTTCTGAAAATTCGCTGTAATAACAAACTCCTAATGCCTGCCACAGCAGAGGATGGAACTTCTGATACCATTGAAGTCCTTGGCAGTGGGCTGCTTAAACACCTTTAGGAGTTGGGATTTGTCTCTTCCCAGTTATTGCAGCAGAAGTCTTAGTGGTACAGAAAAATGCAGGATGGGGACCTTCATGGGAAAAATGCAGAATGAGCTCTTACCACATTCATCACATGGATGCACAGTAGATTCATTTTTAATCATATTGATTTTAAAAATGCATAAGCAAGGGAGAAGAGTCTTTGACTATCCTGTTTTAAAAGAGTAATAAAAAATAAAACCAGAAGCTGTACGGACAATGGTAGGGCATTAAAGAGAGAAAATACTTGTTTGTAGCTGCTTATAAACAACATTTTCCTTGGCAATATGCTCCCTATCAGGTACTGTATTATTTGCTTGTTAAGAGCAAATGCCCCATGGAAGTAGACACAAAGGTGCTTTACACTACTACCAACCAAAAGTTACTCAAATGGAAATGTGTTTTTTAGCAGCATCTCAATGCCTGTGATGTTTATTTCAATACCTATGATGTTTCTAAAATAATGTACCTAAATCCACAAAATTCTTAATCTTTGAATTGCTCTTTTGCCTCAGCAGTAAAAAGTTCATTGCCCCATTGGCTGTCTTATTTGCATCTGGTGTCTGGTTTTGGTTTTTTAGAAGAAAACCAACAACTAGACTTGCAAGGTGCAGAAATCAAAGGTTTTTTCCTGTCCATTAGATTATCCATATTTTCCAGTAAAAGAGCAATCAAAGTAAAACCGTGCAAGCAGATATCTGTAATTGCAGCATGTATATATGTGGAGAAGGTTATTTTGCTTCTGTTGATATTATCACTGATCAAACTTACTTTGTGAAATATATGACATTTTCTCTGTGTGGCATAGAACAAATCGCACAGACAGACAAAGAACTGAGTGTCTCTATAAGTAAATCCTGCATTCCAGGAACAACTGTAAACATTGCATCGAACCTCAGGCTGTAAGTGGGTACTCAGAGTTGCTTTATGTAGAGATTAAAGATAGGATCTACTCCTTCTCATAGAACTTACACTGAAGGTATGAGCACAAAAAGCAAGCAAGAGAAGTTTCATGCCTGATTGCATGCCTTAAACTCTACCCTATTGTGTGTTTCTCAGCTAAGAATTAAAATAGTCTACAAATACACCAAATCCGTGTGCTGACAGTTGTTTTATGTTTTGAACACAGTTTGGCCCAAGCCCATAGTTACCCATTTTCTGCTCTCAGTCCCTATTAACACAGTTGCTTACATTCTGTCATATTATGTTTTTTTCTTGGAAAATTGGTAGATGGGATGACACAGTGGGTTTCACTTCTGAGTGAGCCGTTGTCTAAAACTCACTTGAACAACAGAGGATGCTTCTTGTACCTTCTTCATCTCCTCCCATTTCTTTGTTCCTGTTGCTTTTCTTCCATCGCGCTTGCTTCGAGTTGCTAACCCACTAATGCGGAGAAGGAGGGTTTGAAAAACCATGGGGAGGGAGAGAAAAAGGTTTGAATATTCAGGTTTGGATAGCAGTTCGGAACGTGCTTATATTTTTAATGACGATGCAGATTGATTTTAAGTGGGTAGCATTTGCATCTGGTTTAAAAACTACTTAGGTCTATGATGCAGAGAGAGGTCCCAGGTCGTTCTATGAGCCTATGACTGTGGTTGAAAGCTGAAAAGGGATATAGTCCCTTTTTTATATATTGTTTGTTTATAATTTTTTTCATCCTAAAACAGAGCAGCAAGCCTTACAAAGTCACCCAGTTTTGCCAAGTATCTGCCCCCAACACACCAGAACGGTTGTTTAGGTGGTAGTGTCCCTTTCCCCATCCCAGAGGCATTCCCTCCTGTTGTAACTCCAACACAGCTCGTGTCCCAGGGCTCCAGGGGCTCTTTTGGCAGAGCCACAGTTAAACACAAAGCTGCGGGGCACCCTTTCCCCAAAGGATCTGGGTGACTTTGCTGTGCTGCCGTAGGAGCGCTCAGCAGCCACTTGCGTGACTTCTGGTCGCTCCCACTTAGGAGCTTTACTAATTAAGTGAAAGATGCTTTTCATCAGTGCTATTGTCTTGGCTGAACGGTGTGGCAAATCCATCTCAGGAGTTTAAAAGCACCCGACACGAAGGGGCTTGGGGTGGTGGGGGAAGAAATAGGGAACGGCGTTTTACAGAATGTGGTTGCTTTCCGGCTAAATAAACGATAGCCAAATTTAGCAGCACCCTCTCCTGGTTTTTGGCAGAATAACATGTAAGGATATCGATCTTAAGTAAGATACGGGAGGGTCACAGCTGCTTGTTTCCTCAAACGCGATGGACCTGGTGAACTTTCTGTAAGCAGTGAACGCAGCTAAGTTAAAACGCTATGCTAAAATACTAAAATGGCTCTGTTTTTCATTAAAGGCGGTTGCTGTTGCTTTGATCAAAACTTAATGAAAACTTGAGGGGCTCATTGTGTATCAGAAAACTGATTGAAATGGCTTTGGAAGGCGGCATTATGGAGCAGCTAATGCTCTCCACCTCCTGAGCAGACTCCACGCTACCAAACAACTTCAGAAGAGGGCCAGCAGTCGTCCCTTCCCCCACGGCTGTTCCAAGGGCTGTGCTCATGTGAATCGCTCAAAGCCAGGACATTTCCGAAAGGAAGCAGTGACCAGCATGCTGAGTGGTGTAGCCCGGGCACGGGGCACAGATGCTGTTACACGCGTCTTCCTGCTGTACTTCTCGATCGCTTTTCCAGAGGTACCATACCTAAAACTCAAAACCATTGCCTGCCCGTATTCCTGTGTTACTCTTCGGCCTTGTAAAGCTTGTTTCACTTTACACACAAATGTGCAAACCAAAAAAAAAAAAAAAGTTTGGCTGAGAAAAGCAGTACTGCGTGGGTAGGGCTTCGTGTCTCAGGCGAGCACTGAAATTGCCGTCGATGGGGTGTCCTGCCACTGGGTGACAA